TTTTTTTTTTTTTCAAATAATGTGCTCTGTTTATCTTTTACAACTAGGATGCCAATGTTATTGCATGCTTCTTCTCAATTTGTTTCCTGAAACATCTGTACTTTTCATTTTCTCTTGATTGCTTATATCTTCTAGCTCTCCCAGTTGGAATGTTATTTTACTGCAAGTGTTATTGTAGGAAGCATTAAAACGGAGGTTGCACGCCAAGATAGAATATGCAAAGTTTCTCCAAGAGACTGTCAAAGAAATGGCAAAAGAGGTGCAAAATTCACGGAGTGGGGAAACTAAGAAGACAGCTGAGGACCTTGATGAATTTCTGAATAAGGTCCGTGCGATTTCAGTATTATACCAATGAAAATGTAGTTCATAAGAAGTGTAGCTTATATAAGACGATTTGTTGAATACAGGTCAGAAGTGGTGCCCGTGTCGCAAACGAGGAAATTTTGGGATTTGCTAAGCTGTTCAATGATGAACTCACACTAGATAATATTAGCAGGTTTGTAATTTTGTGGTTGTACTTTTATCAAGTTCCTTTTAATTGTAATACATTATCAATTTAACATTATTATTTGACCAGTTTGAAATTTATGTTATTAACAGACCACGGCTTGTAAACATGTGCAAGTACATGGGTATCAGCTCTATTGGAACAGATGCTTATTTGCGTTATATGCTACGGAAGAGATTGCAGAGGTATGCCATTTCACATTCTGTGTGAAGGCGTGTATTAGTTTGCTGGAAAATGGTGGTTTCTGTTTATAAAGTGCAACTATTTGTTTGCTGGCGAATTAATGTCACTGATACAACCCTATTGGAAATGATTAAGGGAGGAAAGCAAGTATTATGGATCTTTATTTTCATTGAATTGCTTAGAACTTGTTGATATTAAGTTGGTCAAGCAGGATGAAATTTATTATTCAAGAACATCTCTGAATTTCTTTTTCATTTGATAGTTATAATCTAACAGGTGCACATAACAGTGGCATTCCTGTTCCCCTAATTTCCACAATATATCAATTATCTTTTGTTATAGAAACTAACACAATTTGTAAAGGTTTTAGCGAACTTCTTTTTCTTTTACATTATTGCATGTTTAATTTGGGTCAATTGTGTTCTTATTTAAGGATTAAAAATGATGACAAATTGATTCAAGCTGAGGGTGTGGAATCTCTATCCGAAGATGAACTTCGTGAAGATTGTCGTGAGAGGGGCATGCTTGGAGTGCTTTCTGTGGATGAAATGCGCCAACAGGTTTGTATGAGCGAATATTTGTACAATTGTTAGTATCATATTATTGGTTACAATATGAGATTCCAATCGTACCTTTCAGTTTTTTCTGTGCTTATAATCCCCTCCCTCAGCTTGACCCTTAACTATTAAAAAAGATGTAGTGTTCTGTGGCTATTGGCTTAACAGAGCTGTCATTATGGTCATCTTTTTTTCTTTTCTTGAATTCACCTTTTCTCTCTTGCATGATTTAATTGTTAATGATTACATTATTTGCAGCTGCGAGATTGGCTAGATTTATCACTAAATCATTCTGTTCCATCTTCACTTCTGATCCTTTCCAGGTTAACTTGATTGGTCCCCAACCGTTTCCTCCTGTCTGATTTTGGAAATTATCATAATTGATTCTTAGAATTTGAGTTTTTATTTTATTTATTTATTTATTATTTTTTTTTTCTGCAGGGCCTTTACAGTATCAGGTAAGGTGAGGCCCGAAGAAGCAGTTCAAGCTACATTATCGTCACTCCCTGATGAAGTTGTGGATACTGTGGGAATTACATCACTGCCATCTGAAGATTCGATTTCTGAAAGGAGGAGGAAGTTGGACTTCCTTGAAATGCAAGAGGAACTTATCAAGGTTGATGATTTTTTTTTTTTTGGTTCCCGTGTAAAATAGTTGATCTTAGTCTAGAAATGTACTCTTTTTATGATTTTCTTTTTTATTTTTCACAACAGGAGGAGGAAGAGAAAGAAGAGGAAGAACTAGCCAGGAGAAAGGAAAAGGAATCTTCTGCTAGAGTAGAAGATGATGTGGCTTTGAAAGAGATGCTCATTTCAACTGCAAAAGAAGCACAAGAACGAGCTAGAGAAAAAGCAGTGGACAAACAAGAACAGCTTTGTGAACTTAGTCGTGCATTAGCTGTTTTGGCTTCTGCTTCTGTAATAAATGATTTTCTTCTCTGAGCTTCTTCTTGGGTACCTATATTTGCATTTCATATTTATTATTCCCTGAACTACGCTTTCATCTCAATTTGTTATGCAGTCGGTGAGCAGGGAGCGTGAAGAATTCTTGAGGCTTGTCAATAAAGAGGTAAGTTAACTAACCACCTGAGAATAATCTGTATATGAATGTGAATACTCAACTTTGTAGGATAGTTTTGTGAAACTCTTAAATATTATTATTCTTTCACTACAGTGTGTTGCTTGTTGACTTATATTTCTGGATCATATTGTAGCCTGTAGTAATTGATAGAGATTACTATTGGTTTTGTGATGATCATTAACTTGAGTAAATTCCATTCGGGGGAAATGATTTTACATAATTACACAAATATCCATTATTTTACACAAATATGTTTATGAAAAATGATTTTAAACCTTGCCTCTGTTGCGGACCAGTGAACACATGACTCTTAATAATATCCATGATATTTTCAGTGATAAAATGTTCAAATCCATGTCTGGTCATTAAGATCTTATTCAATCATGTACTATGTTGTAATTAATCAAAGTTCATAGCTCTTGATGGTATTTAATATATTTACTAATGCCTTTTGATTTAAAAAATTGCTGATTTATTTTCGGCAGTGGTTTCTATATATACGCTCATTGTAACTCGTGGTCTTTGTCAGATTGAGCTTTACAACAGCATAGTGGATAAAGATGGAACAGATGGTGAAGTGGAAGCAATGAAGGCATATAAAGCCGCTCGTGATGAAAGTGAAGATGGTGCTGAGGTCTCTGAGCATAATGTCGTCTCGTCTGCTCTTATAGACAAGGTATGATATCCTCACATATCTCTCAAAAAGAGAAGGAGAGAAAAAAAAAAAAAAAAAAACGTGAATCGGCTGATTTTTGTATGTCCAGCCTACTTGAAATCATTTTAATTTTTTGTTTATTTTTTATTTTTTTGTTCAATCCAGGTTGATGCTATGCTTCAAAATCTTGAGAAAGAAATTGATGATGTGGATGCAAAAATTGGTGATCGTTGGCGTATACTCGACAGGTGGATATTTATAGCTTTACGGTTATCTTGCTTTATGTTTACGATCTTACTTCTCTATTGGTCAATATGTCAATTTTTTAATAATCTATATCAATTTATCTCAATTAATAAAAAAAAAAAGTATCTATTATGATATACCATTAATTCTCAGTCAATTTCGCTAATCGAATATTGGATAAGCTTAAAATTAGGTGAAACAAATACACCTTTTCGTCAAGCTCTTACCTTAATCAAACTTATCTATCCGTCTGCAAATTGACAAAAAACAAGCTTATAAAAAATATCGACTATCTTAACGTTTGTGCATTAAATTATTCTGAATAGGATAGTATTCAGTTACTGTTAGGTATTTGATTTTCATATGCAAAAATTTTGGGGAAAAATCACCATATATGATTTTCCATTTTCGCAGAGATTATGACGGTAAAGTAACTCCCGAAGAAGTTGCAGCTGCTGCTATGTATCTGAAAGACACTTTAGGCAAAGAAGGGGTGCAAGAACTCATCAGCAATCTTTCTAAAGATTCAGGTGAATTAATTTTTGTCCCTTATGTCTAATTAGGCAAAAATGCATTTTTAGCCTTGTTGGTTTAACGCTATATCAATTTAGTCCCAAGGTTTCGACTTTTCGCCTTTTGGTTCCGTGATTTAATATTTTGCTGCAATTTCAGTCCTCAAAAGGACTGAAATTTCAACAAAAAATTTTAATTACAGGACTGAATTGCAACAACATTTTAAATCATATGACTTAAATTGCTAATAAAAAATCTATAAATATGGGAATTTGTTGCAATTTCAGTCCTCAAAGGAATGACATTGTAGCAAAATATTAAATCACAATACCATCGATTTTGCTACACAACGGTTTTGACTTTACTATTTTCACGTATTTTGTGTATGATGTTTTGTTGTTCTCTTTGAATTCCAGATGGAAAGATACTTGTTGAGGATATTGTGAGATTGGGCAGTCGAGCAGGTGGCAACTCATCCGAGCCTGAGGAAATGTAGAGAGTGTTTAGAAAACGAGTTACCGTGTTTTCGCCTTTTTTGACCAGTACCACTTCTCGGTTGCGTTTTAAACCTGGTATTTTGTCGAGAGGTTTAACTTTGTGAGGGTTACTTTTCGATGTTCGACAGTTTTGGAAAGAATCTCGAAAGTATAATCGGATTATCGTTCGTGTTCTGATTATTCGTATATGGAAAACAAAAAAATCACCCTGAGCATTTTATCTATATTCTTGTTTTGAGCGAGTCCCCTCTATTATGTGTATATGAATTTGGAATAAGCCTGTTTGCATACTGGTTAGTATCAATTGATGTATTTAAAGTAAAAGATACATATTACTACACAATATAATATTAAATACTTATTTTTAAATGATATAACTATTAAATCTGTTGAGTCTGTCTATTAAATGTTTTTACTATTTATTCATTCATTTCATATATTAATAATAATTATGTTAACTATTATTTATTTAATAATTTGTTTTGTATATTACATCACTTTATAATGATTAATTTAAACTTTTATAATACTTCCACTCACTTTTCTTTTCCTAATTAAATCATTTTTTTTTTTTTCTAAAATAAATTCTTCCACTCGATCATGACTTGGCAATGTTGGCTTCTAGTAGCCACCTAGTGCCTACCTAGCAGACACGTGTCAGTCTCCAGTGACTCTGCCTTTGCTTTACATTCGCAAACCTCATAGCGGATCCGGGCCCCATTTGGGCCCGTATGTGTGTATGCGAAGCCCATGCTCCATCCATGTCCCAGGCCCATCTTTATCCTATCATCATTTAAGTCATTCAACAGAAGATTCTCTTTCTATTGATTTTTATAATAAATTAGTTGTATTAATAATATACTATTAATTAACAAACTTATCAATAGTTTTTTAAAATAAAGTAGAAGTTTGTGATAATTTATTAATTTTTTTTTCCAAATTATATTGTTATTTTTATTTAAATGACATTCATCACCTGTAAGAGTTAAGACTCGTTTATGATTTTTTTTTTTTAAAAAACTTTTTATATGCATGAAAGTAAGATTAAATATGATCGTGATTAATTTGTTATATCATATATCTTTTGATTTTTTAATTTAAGGTAGTTAAATATTTTAGAATTTTTAAACTACTAGCTATAATGGATAAAATTTAAAACTTACATGTGTACTCCAAAACAACATAAATGACACGTAAAATGGCATACCACTAAAAATTGGCAATATATTATTAACAAGTATGAAAGGTTCAATACTTCTATTCAAGGTTTAGAATTTTGTACTAAAGGTCGTTTTAGTAGCAATTTTTTTAAATGTAAATGTTAATATGAATTCAGTTATATGGTTTTGCTTTCTCGTGATATATTGAAATATCACTTGTGAGTTGTCCATATTGATTCTAAAGGGAAAATGAGTCTAGTATACAAGTCTAGTAGGATATTTCTCCCATCACCAATTGGTTTGGAATGGAACCTTAAACGAGGTGCATCTAGGCTCATCCTCTTATGGTGCGCTTCATCTAGTAGGACCGCACTCTTTTCTCCCGGTTCTAATATGGTATCAGGCTCCCTGTTCTAATATGGTATCAGAGCGTGCATGTCCTATGACCTGCAATGACTCTCTCTACCCGGCGCGCTTCATTTGGTAGAACCGCACTCTCTTCTCCCAGTTCTAATATGATAAAATATTTATAATGGAACTGCACTCTCTTCCCTTGATTTTAATATGATAAAACATTTATAATGTCATTTGAAAATAAAAAACTAATTGTAATTATACCTAAAAATAACTTAGCTATTAACATGATATATAAGAAATATAGTGTGGCATCTAAAGTAGAATCCACCTCTTTATATATCATCATCATGTATAAGATTTCCAAATCCAGATTTTGTCACCGACCTTTGACAATACAAAGAAACAATCAATATTGTCACACATTTTTTTGTCCCGCTAAAATATTAAAATTAGTTATAAAAAAAAATACATTTATTATTAATAAAGATAAATTAATAGTTGCGTGGAGCAATGCTCACCTATTCATAGTGGACACATATTAATATGTTTACTGCTTATGTGGCATGCACTCATTGGTGATGTATTTTTTTGAACATATTAACATTACCAATGTACGCATGTTACATACGCGTGAACATATTAACATGTGCCCATCGTCGTAGAGGAGCATTATCATAGTTGCCTCACTTATAAACCACCCCACCGCGGCACCGCCCACCACCACCGCTCAATCCACACAGACAAAAGTAAAAGCCTTCTCTTTCTCATGAAACTCGCGCTACAGTCACAAAAATTTGCTTCTTTTTTTTTTTTATTTTTTAAATCTTAGGTACCTTTTTGTTTGTCTTTCAAGAATCTGTACTGTACATATTAGGAGGCAAAAGAATTTGCGAGTTTTGTTTCAGGTAAGCTTCGAAATGGGTTATTTATTGGGATTCTTTTACTGTTCACAAAATACCTTTCTTGGAATTGGGTGTTCATGGGGTGAATTAAATTCGCATGAAATCGTGATTTTTGGGGTGAATGTATGAAAAAGTTCTGATCTTTAATGTATTTTCTTGATTGGGATGCTTTTACAATATACCTTTTGTAGGGACTGATTTCGGATGACCTATGAATAAGTTTTGATTCAAATTTTCTTGTTCAGTCTACTTTGTTTTGAAGGGACTTACTGTAGCAGGTTAGATACTGTCCTGAGGAGACATGGCCAAATCCCAGGCCTAGTTCGGGCCGACGGGTTGGGTTTGGCGGACCCTGAACCGGCACGACCTAGGTCCGTGCCGGGCCCGGCCCGTGTCTAGACCCGCCCTAATAAAAATAAAAAGAAAATAAAAAGAAAATTTGAAACTCATGTTTTTTCTGTGCCGCCGACCCGGCACGCCCCGCCGGGTCAGGGTCGAAAAAATCCCAACCCTGAATCGGCCCGGTTAAAATCCGAGCCGGGCCCGGACCTGTGGTCAACGGCGGGTTCGGGCCAGGTCGGTGGGCCGGTTGACTCCTGAGTCCTGACTGACAGTTTATTTGTAGCTTGAGTAGTTCTTGGCAAAAAGAGTAATTAAAGAAAAAAGAAGAAGAAGAAGAAGACTAATATCTTTTGGTTTTTTGGTTTTCTGTAGATGATGGGCTTCTGTTGTTGAAAGATGATTCATTATATGAAGAGCTTGCTTGATATTAATAATCACATTTTCCCATCTGGTTTTTGAAATTTTCACTAGTTATGTATCGTACAGCACGAGACGTGTAGATCTTACGCCTTAGCTACAAATAGTATCAGGCATTTTTCATTGATAATAAACCGATGTAGCTCTGTTTATCATAACTTTTGTTTTCATCTTTATGCAAATACATGTCACATTTATAAAAATGTCTTTCTTGAGCTGTTTGAATTAGTTACCGATATTGTTTATGTTCACTTTCGATGCTTTTCTTTTCATTAGAGTTTGTGTTTTGTAGAAGTAAACATTTCCAAAAACTTCAAAAGAGATGATGAAATAAATTCTTAGCCTTCTCGTGAAGCGACTTCTTTGCATCTTCAAGAGAAATCCAATTCTTGCTCTTTCCTAATGGACTTGCTTTCCTTTTTTTTTCGGTTTTTGTTCTTCATTTGCTCACAAAGTTCTTTAACTCAGGGATATTAAGGCAAACTTTGCATCGAAAAACACTAACTATCCAGTGCTTGATGGGCTCGCAAGCTATTGATATTTCGTGGCCTTCCTCTATCGTTGAGTCTTTCAACACATCTTTCGATATACAGATTGAGGAAGGAAATTCGGCTGATAATTTGGATTTTTTCGACGATAAAACCGCGTACTGCAGTCCGAATATTCCAAAACCTCCTCCGTTGCCGAGGAAGATAACTACAAAACTTGTAAATGTATGTTGTGTTCCAAAGGAGACTAGAGATTTATGGGAGAAGCTCTTTAAAGAGGGATTTGGAGCCGATGTTCGCATAATTTCCAGTGATGGGTTATCTATTTTAGCACATCGTAGTGTTTTGGTGAGTGTGTGTGTGTGTGATTCTTTTTGTTTGAACAACTTTTTTTTTTTTCCTTCAATTATCATTTTCTGAATATTTGTTTATTCGTCTTGATGAGATGTAGCTTTAAGAGAAAGGAATATATATCTGGTGTACATATGCATTCTAAGTATCATTTCTGTACTTAATCCAGAGATTTTGACATTCGTCTTGGTGGTTATGCTGCAACGTGTTGATTATTTGCTAAATTTGCTCATTTATGTTTTTTTTCGTTTATTTTTTTTATTCTTTTTATCTGTAGAGTGTTGCATCCAAAGTGCTCGGTTACCTTCTGCAGCAATCGAAAGTTGAGAACGGCATAAGATGTATAAGTATTCTTGGAGTACCGTATGGTGCCCTTCGTGCTTTCATCCGTTTTCTCTATTCATCTTGGTAAAGACACGATAACCACTTTTTTATATTGTTAGATTTTTTTTTTCACATTTTCTTTTTTCTTTTTAGTGCAATTTTTGAGTTCGATGAGCACACAGTTACGATAGCGCATTATAAATGAATGATTTTTACTGGAAAATGTTGCAAGAGATGCAAATAATTTTTTTTTTTTTTTGGGAGCCCTCGCATTCAAATTTGAATCGCCAACATTTGTAATTACAAATCTACGATTATTTCAAATCACATGTTGAAACTATCTGATCATAGATAAAGTAACTCTTATCATAAAATTTTTTGCAAGAATTTTCAATTATTTGAATTCTGATGGCTTATGTATATATTCCAAGTGCAGTTTCGAACGAGAGGACATGAACGAGTTTGTTCTCCATTTACTGGTTCTTTCACATTCGTACGCAGTACCATCTCTGAAAAGAGTATGTGAGAACTTTCTAGAAAACGGCTGGTTGACTAAAGAGAATGTCATAGATGTTTTGCAGTTAGCTAGAATCTGTGATGCTCCACGCCTTTCCCTCGTTTGTGTTCGTATGGTCGTGAGGGACTTCAAATGCATCTCTATAACCGAGGCATGGAAAGTGATGAGACGGTCTAATCCTTCCCTCGAACAAGAGCTATTAGAATCAGTCGTTGAAGCTGATACAGTGAGTTTTAACTTTTAAGTTTAACGCTTGCATGAAAGGCAAAATTGCATATAGAGACACCACAAGGCTTTTGCTATTTAATCATCACCACCTTTTGCTATTTTCATTTAAATCACCACATTTTAATATATGCTTTGCAGATCGGAGCATAAACTTAACTTCCATTAGAGTAGAGCAGACTTGGCACGGACGAAAAGTCTATGTGATTGACTCGTCATAGACGGAAAGTCTTTACGGAAATTAACTTTATGTTTCGATCTGCAAACCCTAAGAAAGATACATAAGAAAGATGGTGATTTAAATGCAAATAACAAAAGATGGTGATTAAATTGCAAAAGCCTTAGCGTCTTTATATGCAATTTTGCCTAGATGAAATCCTTAAGTTAACCCGAATCAATTATTATTCTTTAGCTCTCCCTTTTCTTTTTAGTTTTCTTTCTGACAAAAGTTAAAACATACATAGAACTCTGAACTTTTTCCTTGTCCTAGAGGAAACAAGAGAGGATGAAAAAAATCGAGGAGAAAAAAGTATACCTTCAACTGCACGAGGCAATGGAGGCTTTGCTTCATATTAGCCGAGAAGGGTGCAGAACAATCGGGCCCCGTGATAAAGTTCTAAAAGGTAGCCAAGTGAGTTGTGCTTTCCCAGCATGCAAAGCGCTCGAGACTCTAATCCGTCATTTTTCGAGCTGTAAGGCTAAAGTCCCGGGTGGCTGTGCCCATTGCAAAAGAATGTGGCAGCTTCTCGAGCTACACTCCCGAATGTGCAACGACCCGGACTATTGCAAAGTCCCTCTTTGTAGGTATGTGCAATTAATTAATTCTTTTGAGGTTTTATTTATAATTATTTTTTTCTTTTACGTTTTATTTTCCCTCCATCGTGGGCCGTTTCTAGCTAAAATTGTTTCTGCATTTTGGTGTCCCGTTTATCCATCGGGTGAGTAATCTGTTACTTGGAAAACCAAAATCAAATCGAAGGTTATATTTTTTGGCAAAAATGCATTTTTAGTCCTCTTGGATTTTAGTCCCAATGTTCCAACTTTCCGTCTTTTGGTTTTGCTGCAATTTACTGTAATTGCAACAAAATTTTAAATTACATGACTTAAATTGCTAATACAAAATCTGGGAATTTGGGAATTTGTTGCAACGAACTGGAATTGCAGCAAAATAAATCACATGACCAAAAGGAGGTGAAATGTTGGAATTTGGGACTAAAATTGCTATCACGTTAAGCCAGCAGAAATAAAAATACAATTTTGCCTATATTTTCCAAGTATATATTTCCAACTTGGTATACTTCCTATTTTTTTTTTTATTATTTTTTTTTTAATGTAGGTATTTGTTTGTTTTTTTTAGTGTAAGTATTCGTTTGATTAGAGTATCGTGTTTTTTTTTAGGCATTTCAGGGTTAAAATGCAGCAGCAGAGGAAGAAAGACGAGGCAAATTGGAGAGTGTTAGTAAGCAAAGTGGTGGCAGCAAAGAATGCTCAGAATTTGCTCTCACCTCGGAGGTGAAGTGTTTAGCCAGTCGAAAAATGAAGGTGTTTTTTCGTACTTTAAAAAAAAACGGCCGATTTTAAGGTGGCCTTATTCAGATGAAGACTGTTGGTAAGGAAGTTTTGAGGAATAAAAAAGAACTGAACAATGGGAATGTACATCAAACTAGTTGTAAAAAAATTAAACCTGTATTTGTAAATTTGTCAGTGTGTTTGTAATGTCATATTGCATATGCAATCTTGTGAAAATGTGCAATGTAAAAAGTTGAGTGTTTGAATTCAGATGAAGCCATACCAAAGTAAAAAGTTGCAAAAGATGTGTCTTCTTATGTTTTTTAACTGATCCACTAGCACAACTAGACATAGCCATCGGGTTGGGTTGGCCCGACGAACCATGCAGGTTGGGCCCTTTGATTGATCGGGTTGAGTTAAACAATTGAAAATCGGACAATTTGAACGGTTTCCCACCTGGCCTATCGGGTTTAAATTTAAAATTTGAATTTAAAATAATTAAAAGTTGATTTGATATAAAAGTAGGGGAGATTATATGAAATTATAGTTAGTTAAAATCATGTGAGTTGATAAATAATGAATTAAAACTGATGTGATGTAAATAAGAATAATTATTTGGTATTATTTAATTATTGAATATAGTGAAGTCGAGTTAAAGTTTAATTAGATTTTGAGCAGTATAAATTGGATAAATTCATTAACACACAGTCACACACACACCCTGTGGTTGAAGTTATTAGCACATGACCCAAAAAGAGAAAAGGGCCTCATAAAGCAAATGAAAATTGGCCCAACTCGTAAAACCTAAAGCCCACTTGAACTTTCAAACTGTTTAAGAAAAACTTGACTTATAAACCATCGGCCCAAACCCACCTTAAAAANNNNAAAAAAAAAAAAAAAAAACAATAAAACAAATACTTGAACACTATAAATACCAGCCTCCTAATCCTAGCACTTGCATCGCATCTTGAAGAAGCAGCACGAGCTAGGGTTTTCTACCAAAAATCTTATCGGAGCTTATATTTCGTTCACTGCGCTCGTCATCTTAATTCGGTAGGTTTTTTTTTTTAATTTTTTTTTTCTAATCTATGGTTGAATTTTTGTTTTCTGATATGATGCGCTTGTTCTTGTTCTACATTTTTAATTGTTTAATTCCATAAATCTGGCAATTGTAATTGTTTAATTCCATAAATCTGGCAATTGGGTTTGCTGTTGAAGTTTTACCATTTTACGATGGCGTACTTTTTGAGTGGATTCATATGGTGAAAGTAGAATTCTTGGAGTAATTTGTTCATTTTTGAAGGTCATTACATCACTAGGGCAAGTCGATTTGCTGTTGAAGTTTCATCATTTTACGCTGGCTTCCTTTTTGAGTGGATTGATATGGTGAAAGTAGAATTCTTGGAGTAATTTTTTCATGTTTGAAGGTTATTACATCACTAGGGCAAGTCGATTTGCTGTTGAAGTTTCATCATTTTACGCTGGCTTCCTTTTTGAGTGGATTGATATGGTGAAAGTAGATTTCTTGGAGTAATTTGTTCATTTTTTAAGGTCATTACATCACTAGGGCAAGTCGATTTGCTGTTGAAGGTTCTTCATCATTTTACGCTGGCTTCCTTTTTGAGTGGATTGATATGGTGAAAAGTAGATTTCTTGGAGTAATTTGTTCATTTTTGAGTGTCATTACATCATTACCACATATTTATTGGATGTGGATTCTTAAGGTTTCTTCTGTGAGGATATTTAGGCTTTGGATTAATTCGATGACCGTGTTTCTTTCTAATCATGTTTGAATTTGAGCTTGAGTTGTAAGAAAAGTCAATTTACATTTTGGATTTCTTTTGCAGATCTAAAGGCAACATGGCAGACGACGAAAATCATAACGAGATTAAGGAGGGTATTAATGATGTGCCCGATGTAAGTCTCGGCCAAAAAAAAAAAAAAGAAGTTATTTGTTTTGTGTTGCGGATAATGGTATTTTTCTTTGCATATATTAATTTACTTGTTTCTTTGAAGAAGAGACAAAAGTTGGTTTGGTTCTTTAGGAGCTGTAAATGGTCTTTTGCTAAGTTATAGAATCTGAGGATTTAAAAGTTATGAGTTTACAATTGTTCCGTGTAATGCATGTTGAAGTTATGATTTTACTAATGCTTTCATTACTAGTAAAAATGGCAGGAGCTTTGTTTGTTTTCAAATAAATGTTGCCATTCATGTGTATTACTGAAAGGGTCAACTCATCTTTTAACTCTAGCTTTTATACCTAATCAAGAGTAGGTGCATTGTGTTTTAGTAATTTTTTTTTTTTTTTTTCAAACCAAAGATGGTAATGAAGTGTGTTGATTCAAAATGTTTTACGATTGTGTTGCAGATAGCTCCTTTTGACCCCACAAAAAAGAAGAAAAAGAAGAAACCAGTACCTCAAGACCTAGGTGAAGAAGAGCCTGTTGACTCTCTAGTAGAGAAAGCTGAGAGCTTATCGAGTATATATCTAATTAGGCTCACTTTCCAAATTTAAAAACAATATATTATTGAATTATTTGATTATTGAGCAAATTTAGTCTTACGCTGTGTTACATCTTGTGCAGTTTCTGAAACTGGTGAAACATCTTTTGCTGGACTCAAAAAGAAAAAGAAAAAGCCCGTCAGTAGTAATTCTGTGCTTTTTTTACTTTACTGGACATTTCTTCCTTGGTTCTTATATTACATTTGCTGTACTGTTTCAGGCACACACTGATCTTCTGATTGAGGAAAAAGAGAATGTTGCAGAGGACTTGGATGGTAAGGAGAGTCTTTGTTTGAACCATTTTTGTATATACAAGGTTTCTTAATTTGCTTTGTATCTTGATATTTTAGATGTAGTTGGAGAGGATGAGGAAGGAGAAGGAATTGTTTTGCAACAGTATCCTTGGGAAGGTACTGATAGGGATTATCATTATGAAGAGCTACTGGGGAGAGTTTTCAACATTCTCCGTGAGAATAATCCTGAGCTTGCTGGAGATCGGCGCAGGACGGTTATGAGACCTCCTCAAGTTCTTCGTGAAGGAACGAAGAAAACTGTTTTTGTGAATTTCATGGACTTGTGCAAGACGTATGTATTTCTTTCTTTAGCCTAAATTTACTCTCCACTTGAATTTAAACTTGTGAGTTTCAGCTTTAATCGGCATTGTGTGTAGCTATTACTTGAATCTCCTGGTAATCTACATAAAATTCAAAAGGGGTTTACACTGTCGCTCAGTTGAAGTCCTTCAAAACTAATATGAATTTAATGTTGCTTGAGAAAACTTGTTTTGACATGTTTATGTTATCTCATTTATTTTCTTCTTCTTTTTTATTCCTTTCTTTAAATCTACTCTCTTTTAGATATTTGTATTATGTGGTATTTTTAATCCTGATGTGTGTATACTGATTTGTTCCTTCTCCTTTCGATTTTGTTTTTGTAGGATGCATAGACAACCCGAGCACGTCATGACTTTTTTGCTGGCTGAAATGGGAACAAGTGGTTCTCTCGATGGACAACAAAGATTGGTCGTGAAAGGGAGGTTTGCTCCCAAGAACTTTGAGGGTATTCTGCGACGCTATATCAGTAAGCCTTTTCCTCTAAACTATGTGGCTGCATATCAATTCATTACACGGTGTTGGGATTATCGGTCACTGATACTTGTAAAATTATATCGTATTTTAAGTACTTTGTGTTGCACTTGGTCTCAAGTATTATAAACGATTGTGCCTTACAATATTTGCTTCCTATTTGTGTCTGTAGATGAATATGTCATATGCAATGGCTGCAAAAGTCCAGATACCATCCTCTCAAAGGAGAACCGTCTTTTCTTCCTCCGATGTGAAAAGGTCCTTTTTCTCCCTATCACGCAACTCGAGTTATATACTGTTCCGAGTGTGTTAAAGCTGTATTTAACTCCATGTGGATATGCATATTTACCTTTTTTCGAGGAATAACTTGCAAATTCTCTTGCAAGTGAAAAAAAAAAAAAACATTTACTTGATTTCATCGGGCCTGTGATGATTTAACATTTGCCTACATTGTCTGAACAACTTCATCTTGAACGAGACACTTGCTAATTCTGAGGCCTTAGGTATGATAAGATTTTTATGAATCGCCATTATATACTCTACAGTTCATGTTTACTTTTTCTCCCTAAGATGCAACTCGAGTTATATTCTGTTCCGTGTGTGTTATAGCTGTATTGCAACTCCATGTGGATGTATATTTACCTCTTCTCGGGGCATACTTTGCAACTTCTCTTGCAACTGAAAAATAAAACATTTATTTGATTTCACCTGGCCTGTGATGATTTAAAATTTGCCTACATTGTCTGAACGACTTCATCTTGAACGAGACACTTTAATATTTCTGAGGCCTTAAGGTGTGATAAGATTTATAAGAATCGCCATCAATATACTCTACAGTTCATTTTTCTTTCCTTCTCTCACTCGTCCTTGATCTGATTTAAAAAATCTTCTATTGACCAAAACAACCCATAGTTTTGTATGTTAATAAAAGGCGAGAAAATATGACATTTTTTTGTCTTACAAAACTTGTAGTGTGGTTCTGGTCGATCGGTTGCTCCAATCAAGGCTGGATTTGTTGCTCGTGTTGGCAGACGTAAAGCCGGGACGTGATAGCCCGTGGGCCCGCCTGGTCTCTTGGAAGTTTTTATGTTTTGTTGTGATGAACTACTACATTTTTATTTTTATTTTTTTTTCCCCTTTTAGTTAATAAAAAAACATCTAGGTTCTCTTTTTAATTGGCAGTAATGTCATCTCAATTTTCTTGTGATTTACCCTACTGATCTCTATCAACTGTTGAGTAAATACTAAAAGTATGGATTTGTTGTGGATTATATGTGTTTCTGCAATTAAATATGCTTTCTTTGACAATCTATGATCTTTACCTATAAATTAGTTACTGTAAATGTTTGAATATAAATGAAATGCATAAATGGACAATTTTTGGGGCCAAGCAACTAGTGAATCTTGAGTTGTTTTATCTAATTGGTCACATGTTTATAAAGAAATTATGGCTCATATGTGTGTGGTAACATCTTTCGGGAGATGCTACGTCCCGTTATAGAATTATTTCGTCGGAGTTTGTAACCATTAGATTAATTATTTCCGATGGTTACATGATGATCAAATGGTTACAAACTCTAATGGAATGGTTCCGTAACGGGACCGCAGCATTTTCCACATCTCTTTTCCCCTCTTTCTTTGTTCTCCTATGTTGGAACCAATGATTTTTCTTCCAAATATGGCAAGTAAAAATAGCATTTATTGTAAGAAAATATTTATGCATTGTAAATCAAGACATATTGAGTATTTAAATTCAGTAATATATAAATTTATATCAAGTTATTAAGATTCCATCAAATATAATAGTTATTTTATATTATTATATGATTTATTTATGACAGTGTAATAAAGAAATGTAAATTTCAATTCCAAAATGATTTGATTTTTTAGTAGGAAACAAAAAAATGAAATAAAATTATTTGGCGAATATTTCTTATAAAATATTTATTATTATAGACAACCTTATCTTTAATAATATAATATATATTATAATATAAAGTAAAATTACAGGTGTCACTTTTTCAGCTATGACTCAAGTCAATATTGATACACACATAACACTTTACATATGTGGTGAGCAAATTCTGTAAGAACTTTTTTATGTTATGTTTGGTGAGCAAGTATTTGAAAAGTTTGCACGGCAAGTTGTTAAAGCAAAGACAAGTGAAGTGACCTTCCCCTCAGCTCATTTCCTTATAATAGCCCTCTCAAATCTCATTTTATGAATCACATTTGAATGTTCAAAAATAGATAAACACATATATACACATATATACCTATCTATTTTAGTTAGAGCCGTAAACGAGTCGAGAGCCGAGCTCGAGCTTAAGAACGAGATTAAGCTCTTAACGATTCGAGTCGAACTCGGCTCGTTAAACAATCGAACTTTAAATGAGCTTGAGCTTGAGCTCGACTCGTTAAGGCTTCGAACTCGAATCGAGCTCGAGCCGAGCTAGGATCGTTTAATTTAACAGCACTAATTACAGTCCATCAAATTAGATTCTTTACTAAAGGTAATAAGCTTCATGGTAGTCCCATCATCTTAGTATTTTCTTTTTTGGTTTATATGCTCAATAATGGAAATGATTGTTCTCATCAAATCCATCTCTAATATTGAAGATTTAGAGCTTTTGACGCCCGTCCATTGCAAGATCACAAACAAAATGAGGTATGATTTATCGATTTATGAATATTAATAAGTTGATCTCGAGCGCACGTAAAAAAAAAATATTAATAAAAATAAAAAAACTCTAGTTGAACAAGATATCTAATTTCGATTGAAATGTGTCATTTGAAAGATTACAGAACCAGCTTTTTACCAAAGTAATTATTATAAGAAGAAAAATTCAACAGTAGAATTTTGCTTAATATCCTAAAAAGCACGAGATATTATTTGTCAGCTTGTTTGACTAATGATCAGAATTCACTTTCGCGCTTCTCTCTCACTTACATCTCTCTCCACCTCCCTCTTTCCCCCTCTCTCTCCATTTACTCATCTTTTCACACTTTTTCTTTTTGTCACTTAAAAGAGAAATGATTCAAGACATGTGGAATGGGCCAACCGGTTTCCGGCCAAAGAAATCGGCGCCATATTCTTCTCCGGCCAAGCCTCTTCAGTGATTTTCAACCCAAGAATGTCCAAGTTAGTTTCCAAGATTTTCAAATTTTATCTGATTTCCCTTCCTTATGTTAGATTGTTTCTTCTTCATTCTAATAAGTTTTGTTATGTAGTTGTGTTTTGGGTGTGGAAGATTGGATGACCAAATCACATTGTTGAGACACAAACTTGAGCTGAAAACTCTTGTTATTATGTCATGTTAATGTTAAGAGTTTTTAATAAAGGTGACAAATTATCTATCAAAAAAAAAATAATAATAATAATAATATTATAATGCATAGTTTAAAATATTTATTTTCATGTATTTAGTTTCTTACCACTATCTGTGCATATTTTTTAGGCAATTGTTAAAATTAAAAAAATAAAATAAAATCAAAAAAATTCCCGCTCATTGCGTATATCTTATTTAAAAAACGCGACCGTTATTTTTTTTTTTTTTTTAAATTAACTTAACTATATACAATATTTGCATTTGTTCAGTTAATTAGACAATTTTGTATAATTACTGTATTAACACAATCAAATTTGTCATTATGATTTTTTTCATGTTATGTTATTAAATAACTCATAATTTATAATATTAATATATGAAAACCCAACTTAATAGATAATTTCACCTGGCCTGTGATGACTGAACATTAGCCGACATCGTTTGAAGTCTTGAATGAGATGACACAATACATTTCTGAGGCCTTTAATATATGAAAAAAATATTTTATTTTTGTCTAATTTAGTTAAAATTTATTTCATTGAAATATAAACTGAAATAACTTTTTTCTTTGTTCCATATCATTTTAATTTTTTTTTTTTCTATATATCACAAGAATACAATAAAAATAGAAAAATTAAATTTTGTTTATTGACATCTTTCTAACTATCAATGAATATCAAGCAATATTATGTTATTTTTATATTACATTCGTCTTAATTACGATTTTTTTTTTATCTCGTATTAATTCATAATTTTATTTTATAATTTTTCATTGGCAAATTTTTCATATTTTTAATGTGAATTTTCAGGGGAGACATTTTTTTTAAAAAAAAAAAAAAAAAAAATTGGTTTTAATCTTATATTCATGACCAACCATTTTGGATAACTAATAATTGAGCATCTCTAGTAATCACATTATAATCGCTGTCTTTCTATCATTGTTTTGGTAAGAAAATACACATTTTTTTTCCACACTATTGTTTTGGTCAAAAGAGACGGATGTGTCAATTCCAAATTACTCATCTTTTCTCCTATTTTCTTACTTATAAACAATTAGAAAATAAGTTTTTTTTTTTTTTAATTGATCGAGAAAGAAATTAAAATGTTACTACATTATTATTATTATTATTATTATTATTATTATTATTATTATTATAGTTATTATTATTAGAGAAATATTATAGTTCTGTTACGGAACCATTCCATTCCGTCAGGATTTGTAACCATTGTATCATCATATAATCGTCGTGGATAGTTGATCTAACGGTTACCAAGGCCGACTGAATAATTCCGTAACGGGACCATAGAATCTCCTTTATTACTATTACTAATGTTTTTTTATTGTTATTTAGCATATGTGTGCCTAATAGCAACAGATAAATTGGATCCCATTTTCTAGATGATTATTGGCCCAAAACCAAACAAATATATTATCCGGCCCATTCCTCACTATTCGGCCCAACCCAAATCGTCCACTCTCCTTTTTTTTTTCTTTTTTCTTTTTTCCTTTTGTTTCCTAAAGTAGATTCGAAAAATATTTGCAAGTGATAGGTATATTAGTACCGACTAGGCCTAACGTAATAGATTATGAGAGAACCGAGCCAAAAGACCCAAGGATCGACCGATCCCAGGGATCGACCCTCGATCGGGGATCAATTGGTCCAAAGGGTCGAACCCTGACCTCTGCATCGACCCTCGACCGAGGATCAACCGGTCCAAAGGGTCGAACCTTGGCCCTAGCATCGACCGACAAAGGGTAAATTCATTAACGGGAATGTAAGACCTCATTTAATACATGACTGTTACATTCATTACAAACAATTCTCTCTAATTTGAGATATTAACTTGGACGTCGGTTCCGGCGCACTTTCAGGTACCGCGAACATCCAAGCTTGGACCAAACCGAATCAAGCGTGCGCACTTTCAGGTACCACGAACATTCAAGCTTGGACTAAACCGAATCAAGCGTGCCTACGTCATAACCGAGAAGAACCCTCTGAAAGATCGGAGCCGCTCATCTTGGACTATATCAGCAAGAATCTTTCAACTCACAATTCAGCTCAAGAATCCTAGCTAGCCCGTGATGGATTTATATTGTTGTGTTTTGTAATTTTTTACGGACCTTTGCAATGCTAATTAGTTATAGTTATTGAAGCTCAAATAACAATGTAACATTCAAACAAATATTGTATCTAAAAACAATTAGTCTTGATCAAATTCAATACAAATGCAATTTAGTGAGAATTTGTGGTTTAATTGAAATATATAAATGTGTTTCAGCAAAATAATAATATAAGAATAACTAAGGGGGTGATTGTTTATGGTTTGAATAGTAAAAAATCTAGAATTTTTTAATTATGATTAAGTTTAAGAAAAAGTGGTATGGTTAGTTGTTAATGGATATATTAAAATAGTATTTAAAATAAAATTGTTAAAATTGATTTGATGTAAAAGTAAGAGAAAATTATTGGAAGTGATAGTTAGTTAAAATTATGTGAGTAGATAAATAGTGAATTAAAGTTGATGTGATATGTAATAATGATTTGTTGATGTTATTTAATTATATAATAATATTGGAGATAGTGGGGTTGAGTTAAAGTTGAGTTAAATTTGAGTTTGAGTAAAAAAAATTAGTGTACAACTAATAAACAATCACCCCTTAAATACCTAGTATATAAATATATTAATAGTTAAATAATATATTTTATAATTTGTTTTAAAGGGTAGTTAGTATTTACACAAGGTTTTTTTTTTAATTAATTAAAAAAAAGGACATGTGGCATCAATTTAAAGGAGTACCTGATGTTAGGTAGGTACGAGGTACGAGGCGTACCTGACGGTGAATGACCCTGGTTAGTAATGCAGTTTCGATAAAATTATATGCTTTTATACTAAGACTAGTACACCACCCGTGTATTACACGGCTGCTTATTAAAAAATTATTATTAAATTTTAAAATTAATGAGGAAACTATATTAAATTTAGTTTATTTTTTTACAAAAAAATATATTACTATTATATTTTAGAATGATATGTGTTACTTATGACTCACATGTGTTATATTATATTAGTTTTTATAACTTATATCATATAACTACTTGAAATATAAATATATTAGTTGATAAATAATTTTATTTTTCTAATTAATATTAAAAATAATTTTATTATTGTTATAAAAATAAATATAAATTATTTTTTTATACATACAATATAGATGTTAAATCGAAGCGCATCAAAAGAAGATTATTTTGATATATTACATATGTAAAACTGATAAAAATACAAAAGTTATTAACTTTTAAAATATATATACAATTCAATAGTTATAATAAGGAATGATATAAAATGCAATTAATAAATATAACATTACCATAAATAATAACATATTTTCGGTAATCCGAACCTAATTATTTTTGGTTTGGAATTAAAATAAAATTTACTCAAACCTAATAACGAAGCATGTAATTTTGCCACACAAGATTCCGAAGCACCGAAAACAGCCACGTAGGCTCAGCGCGTTCTAGATTCATTCTCGATTAATATATAGGGGGATGTCATGTTTTAAAATGCTGAAAATACGACTTACAGTTTTTAAAATAATATATAATTGTCTAATAGTTAAGCGGCCTAATAAATCCATATGTGATCTAAAAATAAAGGAACTCATTGTATTTGTGATCTAAAAATAAAGTTAACCTGGACTTGATTACACATAGGGGTGTTATTAGAATCGGCTAAGTAGCTCATGTTCGAGCTCGGGCTCGTATAAGCTCAACTCGTCTCATACACCTAAAACTCAAATTGAGTTGTTTATGAAAAAGTACAATCCGATCAAGTCA